ATATTCATTGATAAGCTTCATGAAACTGTGTCGAAACAGCACTTCAATAACACTTCATTCTCTCCTCAATATATTGTAAATTATAGTTCAGTTTTTCTTTTTTAATATACTTATTGGCCCCTTTTTCAACCTCAAAATCAACGTGACAAAAGATCAACATCGGACCAAAGTCGTACAATCAAAAATGTAATAAAAGTACGCAAAAAATTATCCATTTTTACACCTTCGTATATGAAAAAACAACAAGTTACGGTAAACGTACTAAAGCAACACCTCTGATTTTCCTTCATTCAGCTCAATCCGAGATCCGTGATGAAATTCATGACGCAATTTACGATAAAAAAAAAAGGAGCAACAGGCGTCTCGTCACGTCTCTTCTCGCGGTACCTGTTCAAACGTGCGGTGACGGCGAGCCTGTTCATCTCTTTTACTTCCAGATGCACTTTTAACACCAGACTTACAGTAAATATACCGCTGCTCCACTCCGGCGAGCTTCCCACTCACATTTGAAGAACAATTTTTGCCTTCAGGAAATGCACACATCATCGTCAAGACATATTGTTTAGAGAAAGCACGCGTTACTTAGATTATGTGGCCCCTCTGAAGCCGCCATTGGTGCTATAGGATAATTATAATAAACAACGTGCATGTATATACGGTGTCTTTTACAGATGTGGCCCTCTCCGAAGAAGAAGAAGAAGGCTGCAATCGAGTCAAAAAAACGCAACTCGAGTGGACGCAATTAGCACAAAGATGTGGTTTTGCAAGTGCTGTAATTTGCTACACAAACAAGAAAATATTTTGTGTTTTTCTGCGTCAAAACTGCTGTCGTTTGGAGCTTTGCAAACATGTTTTCCGGGTCTGAAATCGAAGCCGGAAAACGTGTTCAAAACGTGAGCTTCGAACGGAATCCTATTATTAAAACGTAATTCAAATCTGATCGGAAATTTTTCCTGCTACTCCACGGGAAAAGCGTCTTCGAAGACAGAACGCGATGGGAGCAAACGTAAAGAGGTGGAAGGAGGACAGGGGCAGAGTGAGAGATAGATTCTCCAAAAAAAAAAAAAAGAAGAAGAAGAGAAAATAAAGAAAAAGTAGTAATGGGGGAAGCGGTGCGTGTCTTCTCTGCAAATCTCCTCTTTCACCTCTGCTCTCCTCCAGCGCTCCAGCCAAGGCCAGCCAAGAGACACTTCAGCTCGCACCCGCGCACACATGGAGCCCAAGCCAACACGCAAACGCCAGGCAAATGTAAGACGCACAACTCTGCACACACACGTTCTGCAACAGAGCCGTACACACACCAAACTGGCACACACAGACGCAATCAAACGCCCACGCGAACAAAAAAAAAAAAAATCACAGATAAACGCTACACCTATAACCGCGGACATGAGATACACGAGAAATCAACGTAGAATCCCACATCCTCCGTGCATGCTGTGTGCAACGACCCATCACGTAGCAAGTGGTAATAATAAGGACGGTACACACACACACACACACACACACACGTTTGCTCACTGTGGATAATTTTGGACATATGCATCGAATCAGGTCCCGGCCGCACACACAAGAGCAGAGGAGGCGAGCATATGCGGTACATATGAGACGTGCAGTGCAATGGAAGGCGAATGGGACTACAAACGCAGTAGTAGTAGTAGTAGTAGTAGTAGTAGTAGTAGTAGTAGTAGTAGTGTGGTGGTGGTGGTGGTGTTGTGGTGCGTTAATAGGCAGATCTACAGACGGAGACGAAACACACACGAGGGGCTTCGACAGGGATCTGAACACACATGCAGGAGGCAGGGCACGACTTAAACAGCGCAATAAAAATTAAGTTTGGAAAACGGTGGGGAAAATAAAAATCGGGGGAAGAAGCAAAGCAATGCGAAACTGTGTGTATTTTCAAGCAGCTTTTTTTTTTTTTTGAAAATGTTGCGGCATTTTGAACAATTTGAAGGACAGAAGGTAAATAAAAACAAGCATGCTGTCTTTTGTTGTCATTTTATGCACTCATAAATTCATAATTTCATAATATACATTTTTGATTTGATACAGGTTAGATATTTTTGAGGACTTTTCTCCATTTTAGACAGATAAAATTTTGTGCAATTTTTTTCATCATGCAAAAACACATGGATAGGCTAAATAAATAAAACAATTCACTACTCTAATTATTAAAAATATATAAAACGTATATTATTATTATTATTATTATTATTATTATTATTATTATTATTATTTTGTCTTTTTATATTAAATGGACTGCAGGAGCCACCGTACCTCGTCCATGTCGCGGGCCTTAGTGGGACTGTCGCACTTCAAAGGCAGACGCGCTACAGGAGCCTTGTAGAGAGAGAAGGGAGAGGCTTTTTAGCGGAGGAAAGACGAGAGACACACCAACCTGCAGAAGAATCTACTTTCACTGCACTCCCGAGTCCGGACAGAGCCTCCGAGTGGACCTGAGCGAGCCGGAGCACCGGGTCAGGTGAAGGGACAGGCACGTTTACGTCACTTGCGCGCGCTGTTTTGCTTTTATTTTAATGTGGAGGAAGCGACGCGGCCTGGAGCTGACGCATTGTGCCCTAAACGAGGAGCAATTATCGTGGCGGTCTCACTTAACTGCGGCTTTTGAACTCGCAGGAGTCGATATACCCACAAGCACGCGCGTAATGCTGAGTCTCAATTAGGCCTTAAAAGACTCCAAATATTATTCCTGGAAATAACTCAGCCTCTGATTATTAATATTCGCGTTTTCCGCCACATAAACAGCGGTGCAGGTCCGTGCTCGCGGTGGGTTTAAATGCTCACTCGTTTTCTGAACATTTGGAGAATGAAATCCATTTCATTGATTTCACTTCAGCTGTTCGTTTGCTGTTAAAGGGTCCGCAAATCTTCACGTAATGCACAAAAATAAATACACAGAATAAAACTGAGCCCACGTTAAAAGTGTATTAAGGCCTTTTTTGTGAAATAACGTGGTAAATCTGCAGCAGAGACGCTCTGCATAAAATCTGCTACTTTCGATTGAGCTCATTTCAAAGTGTGTTAAACAGAGTGGACAAGAACACACAGTACACATTTAATTCAAATATTTCAATATATAAATATCTGTATTTAAATATAAAATAATCGACATAAAGTTTAAAAAATGTAGTTAGTATCGTGAAAGTAACAGGATACTCTGTACTTCACACTGTACGCATGCTCTGTTGAGCAGGTGCATTAGAAATTGAGGCTGCAAATTTAACTTACATTTACTCAAAATTAATACTACAAAATAAACATAAACAATTAAATTGTAATATTGAGTGTGCTGATGTGCTCAATGAAATGTAATAATTTTAGAGAACAAGTTTCTCTTTCGCTGTTGAGAGCAACAACGGGGAATTCAAAAATAGTCTTTAACTGAATATTTAATTAATTGCATTAATTCCCCCTATGGTTGCCTATAAAACGTTCTGATATGTTTTTAGTTTACATGATTTATGGTGAGTAACGTGTGTATGCCTGATGTCCACTCGGTTCACGTGAGCCCTGCAGGAGCAGCTCGGCGCGTCTGAGCTCTGCGCTCAGCTGATTTGCTTGTCCATCGATCCACTGCAAATATAATTCGGCCTAACAACGCTCAAATACCGCGTCCCTGGCGTCACTTGGCCGCTCTTTAACACACGCACATGGGGAGAAAGATTCTCAAAACCCGATCCCATAAAGCATGAGCGCGCTGCACCCCTGGGTGCGCGCAGCTCGGCAAACACAAAGTCATTATCGCTTAGATTCCAATAAGGCGAGTCTGTCAGGGATCGCGCTGCTTCCTTCCGAGGATTTCTGTCATGCCTACTAAACATGGCGGGATGTCTTCTAAGCGCTACGAGCGCGATAAATAACAGCGAGTCCCACAGCTGATTAGTCTGAAACAACGGTGCGCATTTGTAAAGAGGAGAGGGTCCCACAGTGGAGCGGCCCGTCCACCTGCAGCTCCGTCAGCAGTCAGGACGAGCGAGGATGCTCTCACACAGTCTGTGTGCTATGGAAGTGAGCGTGTGATTATGCAGCTTAATCATAGCCAATAGGTTATATTAACTTTTTCAATTGACCAAACACTTAATAAACAAAAAGAAGTGAGCTCTACACTGTCAGACCTCTACACTTTCAAAGCTGCGTGTGACATGTGGCAGTAAACTCTGCCCCTGTCCAGGTGAGAAAGTATTTTGGTGTCTTCTTCAGAGCGGGGATGAGGCTTTTGCGTAAGAGAAACTGTGGCTTGTGCGTAACAGCGCGCGCATGGTACGGACTGCCTGTAGGTCCAGCGATGATTAACTGCAGCTATAACAACCAGTCTCTATCTTTACTGTCTCCCCCGCGCGCACAGACACACGTGTGATACACACAGCAGTTTAAACTGGGGCTGGAACAAGAACAACATCAACACAAAAATATTCCGCTCATCCGTGTGAGTCCACGGCTCTCGCGCTGTAACGCAGCCGTGTGAGAGGCTCCCTGCCTCGGCCACATGAAGTTAATTAGCCGCTCCCAGAGGGGAGCCCCTTGCCCGGTCTTTATCGGCACTGGGGTTACCAAAACACTGCTGTTGTATGCTTTTAAAAGTCCACACCGCTCACGGACCAATTACGCAGACTTAGCGTGTACGTAACGAAGCAGGACAAGAGATTATCCATCAAAGGGACCAATAAACGAATTAGCTTACAGCATGCAAACTGGGCAGAAAATGGCTGTTTTACTGAATAGAGTTATTATTATCAGAAGAGGAAAATGTGCAAATACAAGCCCTCAAAAATTAAATTAAAAAAATTGTAAAACAGAATGAAACTAAACAAATGTAAGTAATATTTTTTAAAGTTTTTTTCTTTCTTTCTTTTTTTTTTTAAATGTGCATTCCAATGTGAAGCAGAAGTACACCTGCCCCTCCCCTCAGAACACACAACCTACTGACACAGATCCAGCGAGCAGCACAGAGACAGAGGACACAGAGTGGGACGTACCTGCTGGGACATTCTGTACAGGAGGTTACTGTCAGTGCTCTGCTGCTGCCATGTCCCCATGAAGCCCGGCTGCTCAGCACTAGGCGGTCTGGTGCTGAACTGCATGGAGCTCTGGCCTGCCCCCTCGCTGCTGGTCCTGCTGCTAACGATGCTAACGGAGCCGAGACCCCCAGCACTGACGCCGCTGCCTCGTGGCCTGCTGCAGGTGTGAGGGCCGGGGGGGGCGACGCCTGGAGCCGAGGCGGTGGGGTCAGAGGTGTCTTCGGACGGAGGACGAGGCCTGGGCGACTGGGGCTCTTCACCGGGCTGTGCTGGGGCCGTATCACTGCGCTCTCTGCCTCTCACATCCAAGTCTGCCTCCTCGGACTACACACAAAGAGGGAGGGCAGCGGGGAAGGAGGAGAGACACAACAAGTCAGTGAAGGTGGGTTCTTTTAGGGTCGTGTTGCCTTTTTTTCACCCCGCGCTCCTGCTCATCTAAAACATGCAGAGAGGGGCGCTTTGGGCCGCTCTGGTGGCCCACCTCTGTGTGTGTGCACTCATTTTTGTGAAGACAGAAAAAGAAGGTTGTGGTGAGGTGTCCTCGGGGGCCTGGAGCTGGACGGGCCAGCGGTGTTAGAGGTGAGGAGGGATGAGGAGGATGGAGCTGAGGGCTGAGGCTGTGCCCGTGCGGAGCTCCAAACATGAGGAGGAGTCGCACTGCCCTGGCCCCACACTTCGCTTTAATCCATCTGTCAGTCACTTATTTGTATTCATCTGGACTCAAACACACCTCCTCACACACACACACACAATCACACACACACACACACACACACACTTACACAGGCAGAGAATAAAGACGAGACCGGTTTAGAGAAAGAAGAGGAGCTACACTCACAGCGCGAAAAAGTCCTTTAAACGGTGTTTAAACGTCAAGATTCCAGTGTCCAAATTTTTAAAAAGTAAAAAAATTGAACTTAAATTTCAAAGTAAAGTCTTACATTAGATGAAGTCAAAATTAACACAGAAATCCATGAGCAGATTTTAAACTTAAAACAAAAGATAAAAAGCCAAAGATAAAAACTAATTAAGCAAAGGAAAAATAAAAAGTAAAAATGTTTGCAACACATTTTGAAGCAAAACTGATTTTAAAAAATATAACAAAAAATGTAAGATATAAAAAGAAAAAGTGCAGAGTGAAATTCCCTTGTATAAAAGTTGTGGGTGCAGAGCTCGGGCAGGCGAGCGCTGCTCTCTTACCATGAACTGTGTGCGTCCCAGCTGCAGACGGAGCTCTGTCTCCTGCTCTGTGCTCTGCCTCGGTCCTGTCCCTCTCTCGCTCCGCTCCTGCCTGTTCCTGTCTGCTCCTGCCTGCTCCTGTCTGTCCTGTGTGCTGCTCTGAGCGCTGTGCTCTGGGCTGCTGCCGCTGTGGAGCTGAGTGCCTGCTCTGTGCCGGAGCAGAGTGAGAGAGAGAGGAGCGGTGGCTCTCCAAGTGTCCGTACGAGTGTGCACACGCTCACTGAGTCAACTGAGATGCTCAATGACACACACTCCTCCTCTGCTGAGGGCGAGGAGGAGGGGGCAGACACCAGCGCAGCACAGCTCCAGGATCCAGGAGGGGGGAGCGCCTGTCCCCCTGCCTTATTACCATGTGCGCTGTGAGCAGAGCAACTTAGCCTTCCTGTGGGACCATCCCGCCACACAAAAACACACACGGAGCTTATCGCCGGCTCTCACCTCGCACAAAAATATCAACCACGACAAAAAGACAAGAAAAAAATACAGAAATTACAAGACAAAACAGAGTCCTTTTAAAGACACTTGTCAAAAGAATCCTCAGACTGGAAATACTTCAACAAAAGCCGGCGCCTTTGTTTAATTCACATCAGCTCTAATGAAAGACTAATGGAACTCAGGCAGCCTGCCACTAGCCTGCATCTGAACGCACTCACACACACACACACACACACACACACACACACACGCACACGCAGGAAACAGCCCTCCTCCCTCACTCCCTCCCTCCCGCCGAGGCTCTCAGATTTTAATTAAGAAAAAAATGAGGAAGTGGTTCCATTTTAGCCAAATTGGTCCCCACTGCAGCAAAGGTATGGGAATAACATGAGGGATGGAGGAGTGCAGGGAGGCAGACAGGGGGAAAAAGACACACAGGAGGAGAGAGGAAGGAGATGTATGCTTCCTCTGACACTTACGACACCAAACCCAAAACAATGAACTTCCACGCACCCTTCCGTACCTCTGAGATGGCCTCGTTATTTTGAAAAAGTGACAAAAATGGACCTACTTACTGTATATTAACCCATAACTCATATTTAAGAATCACATTTAAACCAATTTGATTTCTAAAAATGTCCAAAATTGCCACCAACCTCTCCTAGATCTCCTAAAAGCCTTTCTAGTTTGCCTATGACATTTGAGATTTGTACAAATTTCAACCAAAAAAAATCTGCTGTAAGTCATTTTTTTCTCTCCTTTTTTTATCCTTCATTTAAATTTTTTTTTTTTTTTTTCGCAGCAGTCTTTGCCCTGTCAAAAGCCTTGTTGTAATAGCCGTAATGTGTCACCTCCGCTCCTCACAGCTCACTGAAACGCTAAGTCGAGGCTTAGGCTAATTATATTAAGTGACAATTTCGAGCGTGGTTCTTTTCGCTCGCTTGCTGCCGCGCGCTCTCCACATCCCTGCCTCCTCTTCCTCTTCGCCGCGCTCACCCCTCCCTCCCGTCGTCCCTCGCTCTCCCGCTCCCGTCTCTATAAATGTGCTGGCTTTGACTTTTTTTTCCCGGACAGCGTCGTAGCCCGGGACAATCTAAAAATGGTTAATAGCTGTTAGCTGTTGGATGTGGGATACACTGGACAATAATGTGAATTTGTATTTTTATATTTTATTGTTCTGATTTGTCTAATTTACTAGATTAAGAATATAAGAAGATTAAAATTGTACTTAGTTACAAAGGAAAACACTGTAGGAAGCTGAACATTATAATTAGAGGGTTTAATTAAGTCATGGTTAAAACAGGTTTTTTGATTAGAAATAATTTGGATAAGAAATTTCAAGATATACAGGGATGTAACAAGAACCAAAATATCGTGATATCGTATCGTCAAAGGTCTCTCAGTAATATCGTGGGCTGTCACAATATGTCGAATCTCAAGTCTCTTTGTTTAAATTCATTGTTTTGGTGAAGTAATAGCTAAAAAAAACAGAGGGAACTACATAGACCATGATCCTTTGCTGTTTCAATGCAGACGACATGAAGAAAAAACTGTTGTTAAGCACTTTTAAATCTTAATTCTTCAGCACCAAAGGCTTGTCATGGCATTTCAAAAGGAAAAAGTTGCATCATAGTTTGGTTAGTGTCCACAAAATATCGCAATAAATATCGTATCGTGAGATGCGTATCGAGAAAATATCGTACATAAATTTGGATACCAATAATCAAAATATCATGACATTGTATCATCAAAGGTGTCACAATAATAATATCGTGGAACATCACAGCATATCGAAATTTAATTACATTAATTGAAAAAAGCAGAGTAAACTACATAGACCATGATCCTTTGCTGTTTCAGTGCAGACGACATGAAGAAATAACTGTTATAAGCACATTTAAATCAAAATTTTTTTGTATTTTAACAGCACCAAAGGCTTGTCATGGCATTTTAAAAGGAAAAAAAAGTAGAGTATTCAGTTTGGTTAGCCTCCTCAAAATATCGCAATAAATATCGTATCGTGAGATGCATATCGAGAAAATATCGTACAGAGATTTGGTTACTGATAATGAAAATATCATGATATCGTATCGTCAAAGGTCTCACAATAATATTGTGGAACATCACAGCATATGGAATTATAAACATCTTTAATTACATTCATTGAAAAAAGCAGAGTAAACTACATAGACCATGATCCTTTGCTGTTTCAGTGCAGACAACATGAAGAAATAACTGTTATAAGCACATTTAAATCTTAATTCTTCAGCACCAAAGCCTTGTCATGGCATTTCAAAAGGAAAAAGTTGCTTCATAGTTTAGTTAGTGTCCACAAAATATCATATCATAAATATCGTATCGTGAAATGCATATCTAGAAAATATCGTACAGAGATTTAGATACCGATAATCAAAATATCGTGATATCGTATCGTCAAAGGTCTCACAATAATATCGTGGAACATCACAATATATTAATTATAAACATCTTTAATTAAATTCATTGAAAAAAGCAGAGTAAACTACATAGACCATGATCCTTTGCTGTTTCAGTGCAGACAACATGAAGATAAAACTGTTGTTAAGCACTTTTAAATCTTAATTCTTTGTATTATAACAACACCAAAGGCTTGTCATGGCATTTCAAAAGGAAAAAAAAGTAGAGTATTCACAGTTTGTTTAGCCTCCGCAAAATATCGTATTGTGAGTTGCATATCGAGAAAATATTGTACAGAGATTTGGATACCAATAGTCAAAATATCGTGATATTGTATCGTCAAAGTTTCACAATAATACCGTGGAACATCACAGTACATCAAATTATAAATGTATATAATTAAATTCATTGTTTTGTTGAAGCAGCAGCTAAAAAAAGCGGAGTAAACTACATCGACCATGATCCTTTGCTCCATTTCAATTCAAACAGTAAGAAGAAATAATATCACTTTTCTGTCTTAATTCTTTGGTCTAAAACTGTAATTTTGCACCCAAGTCGTGTCAAAAAAGGAAAGGAAAAGGTATAATTTATCAACTCTCGTAGAATCTCCACAATATCGCAATAAATATTGTATCGTGAAATGAATATCGTGACAGTATCGTGCCGTGAGATTTGCATATCGTTACATCCCTAATTATAAAACAAGTAAGCTAAAGCTGCTGGATTTGAAAACTTTGATAAATTTTACTAATTTAATCTTCATAATTTGACTGCTTTTGTCTTAAATATTCTTAACTACAGCTTTGCACGTATAATTGTTGGCGATTAAATATCTGTGTAAGAAATTCAAATACAGAATTGAACAAAATCAGCTGGCAGAGTTGAGTTTTTCTTTTGCGTTGTTGATTAGAGTCCTGCAGCGAGTGTGGGGAGAGCTGTATGGGAGTCGGTGTTCATAAGCAGCAGTTTCAGCCTCCTCCTTTAAGGCTGTGTACGATTCTGTCTAATGATGTAAGCATGTAAACAAAATGTAAAACAAAATATATGCACAACTTAACTGAACTAGAGTTTAAGGGATGTTTTAAAGGGCCACTATACACCAAAATCACTTTTCTCTACTGATTATGTGTGTAAATGGGTCTAAAATAGAAATGTATACCTATCCATGGCCTTTTTATTTGTTAAAAATAAGACTTTTGGGTCAAACGGCCTCCTAAGGATCAACTACGGCCAGATTTGAATTTTCAGGTTGGACTAACGACCGCCAATGAGTCAGACGCAGGTAATTACGTGACGAGCGCAGCCACTGGTGTCTACGGGTGGCACCGCTGGGCACTGCCATGTCCCGCCATGTCTGGAAAAAAAGGAAAACGACGTGATCCAAGCACAAATGTCCGCTCTGTTTCAAAGTCCGGAGAGCACCGGTCCGCGTTGTGCTGTGGCTGTCAGTGGGCTGTCAATCATCGCTCCAGAGCCCCGCCCCCTCACCCGCTCCCGCCCACTCTGGAGGATTTTTCAGATTTTGCTCAGGGGCAGAGTAAATCTTCGGTCAGGTGTTTAATGGCTCTTTAAGACTTAAACTAACACTGAATGGTGAAATCAAATTAAACACAGATTATGGTCCAGTCATTTAGGGGATTATACTCAGTACAGTTGCCTATAAAACTCATCATTAACATTTTTTCAGACCATCTCATAACGTAATATTTAATAATAATAACAATAAATAGTGTTGTCTAAAATATGAAATCTTAAAGAAATGGCTTTTATATTACAAAACATTATAAAATTACAATTAGAGATGTATCGATCCAGCTTTTTCAGTTCTGATACCAATTCCTTCATGTGTCTACCGATACCCGACGCCAACCGATACCAGAGCAGAGACTGAAAACAGCATTTATTTTCTGACAAAACTGATCAAGTAGTTGTTATTTATCGCTGAGGTAACTACAGAACAGCTTTGAGTAAAATAAAAATTCAAACATTATGAAAATTTCTTGGTGAACTCAATCAATTTATATGTGCCCAGTCATTATATCAGCTGAACCGATATTTGGAAGCCGATATCTATCCAGTAAATTGCCAAAATTGCCAGTATCGGTGCAGATATCCAATACCAGTATCGGATCTCAGAACAGTATTTTCTTACGGTCTATAGTTCCATAAAATGAAACCTGCAACTCTGACACAAGACGGACCAATCTAAGGTATAGGGAGTCTAAAAATATGAAAGCTGATGGGAAAGGGTGCTACGGGCTCCTTTATTAAAACTAGGGTGGGGTGAGTGCATCAGTGGCTCCTTTAAG